TTCCGAGGTAAGCCATTTTCACAATTTTCCCCACATCAAAATAACTCACTTTGTGTAAATAAAAAGAATGGTTGTTGGGTCTCAGTGTGATCTATTTGTAATATAAATACACCTATATTGATATATCTATATAATTAATACTCCTAGAGGCATATCATACCATTTTGGAGTCAGATTGACACCACGAGCAAATTAAAAACATTCTGGGCCGGATCTGGACCTGCAATCCTAAAATTTTGGATACACAATTTTTCATTACTGCGATTTTTTCAGAATTTTTTTTGTGATATTTTGCGATGGATTTTTTTGTACATGAAATAAAAATAATTGTTTGTACAGAAAATAAGGACCAATATATATCAAATTGTTTTTAAATTAAGTGGCAGCAGAAGAATTATCGTTGAATTTTTAAAAGGTAAGCTTAAGTATTAATGCAATATTTAAATGCAGCAATCAATTTTTGAGTTCTTTTGTAGTTTATTTTTGCCTATCGCATATACTTCTACTCCCCATTGTGATGAAGGTCTAATCAAGAGCCCTCCGCAGGGGCTAGCTTAAATGCCACCTGATAGTAGGACTTTTAAGCTAGTTATTAATATAGGTGTATTTCTTATCCTCAGTTTACACATTTTTTTAGTTATAGTGTACAGCTATTTTATTTCCTTGATTGTGCTCTGATTAAAAAGAGGATGAATCAGCTTTTCCTAATAATTTCTTTTTCAAAATGTTCAAAATTTACTAAATGGCTTTAAAGAATTTATGATAGTAGTGTAGAAAGTGGACAAACAAACCTGTACATATTAATAGGTATCCCAAACTAAAATTTTATTGTCAATATATCTAAAAACCTTTCAGACAGGCATAGAGAACATGACAAAATATAAAAAAAATTGGTACCAAATTTATCTTTGTATCTCAATTAACCACAAAGCTATGACCATTCAAAGTTCATAAAACTTTCATTTGATGAGTTATTGGAGAAAAAGCTAAATTTAACAAGGTGTAAAGAAACATATTAAAAAATCCTTATAAATGTAATGTCATATAGGCAGTGTTGAAATAAAAGAAAGATAATTCTAATGAAATCAATAATTCTTAGATCAGACTAGCCTAAACATTGAGAAAATAAAAATACAAAAATATGACACAGAAGGGTAAAATTTGACTGATCATGTAAGAAGTTTCATTTCAACAGTTAATGCCTTTTATTTTGCATACTTCATAGCACAACAGAGATGAAGCTAATTTCTTTCTTTGGTTCAATAGTACCTCAATAAAACAAACTGTATTTATACCACATAAAAACAGCTAATAAGGTCAAAAGTCTATCATCCTGAACTTGCCATAAGAAAGTATCCATTGAAAGTACATGCTTGAAACTTTAAAACTTTACTAATTTCTGGATGAGGAATTAAAAAAAATATCTCTTTTCACAGTAATATTAATACATTTTATAATACATGTATCTTAGTTTTGAAAATTTTTTGTTAATTATGTAATTTTCAACTAGTCAAAAACAGGACAGAAATGACTACAAAACTTAGAAATTTGCTTTACTAAAGGAAGACAAATACTTTATAATAATATTTTAAACTGATAGGAAAAAATATCTTTCTGGACATTGTAAATAAACAGACTTCACAGGACCACCATACTTGATGAGTGAGTTAATGATTCTGTTTCTCAGCAGCAGCTTGACGGTCTTTTCCCTTCTTTTGACTCATTTTTAGCAATCCCTGCCTGTACATGAAGTTTCAGAAGTACTTTTTGTTGTTTGTATCTTTGTTGCTGATATTTTCTATGCTTTCTTGAAATGCCAAGAACTGATTACTACTCAGTTGCTGTATTTGCTTCCAGCCAAGCTGTCATCTGGTCATGCTTAAATATGAGGTTGATCAATGTTGAAGTGATGCATAACATCTTTTATTTTTTCAGTTCCATCCCAAATTTCAAAGTTCAGGGTTGTAATTCTAATGGTCAAGTCACAAGTCCAAAGTAAAAATGTCAGGTATGTAAATATAAATGGGGTGAAAAATCTGTATCCAAAACTCGCAATACATAACTACCTTCTCCACTTAAGAACTAAGACTACCAGTCATCCAAAGTATAAGGGTGTGCTGAAAAATTCATAGTCTAACAAGACGGAGTGAGGCTAGAACTGTAAAATCTTACATGCATTAATCAACTTAATAACTGCACTGTTTTCTTTCCAAGTAAACTGACATTTGACTGTTCAAAGACTTCAAAATAACTAGTAGCAACTTCTCTTGAAAATGGACAAGATTTGGCATCATGATGTTATCAAGTACCTGCAACATCCAAGGAATTTATGGTGACATGATTGCTACATTAGGGGATAATGCTCTAGCTTTATTAACAATACAATAGTGGGCAATGGAGAATCATGAAAATGATCCAAGGTCTGGATGTCCGCAACTGCCACCACTGAGAAAAACATTGATTGTGTTTACCACATGGTGATGGATGACAGGCAATTGACTATAAATGAAATAGCAAATGCTATTAGTGTAACCCATGAGAGAGTTGAGAATATTCTACATAATGAACTTAGCATAATTGTCGTTTCTGCTCAGTTGGTATCATCTTCTGACACCTGATCAAAAGTGCATCAGGCTCATCACATCATGGGAAAATATGACATTGTTTGAGGTATATTCTGTTGGTTTTCTTGAATATTTCCAAACCAAGGATAACTGTTGAACTCATCACTTTGAACTAGAGACAAAGAGACAATCCCAGCAGGGGAAATACCCTCCTCACCTGCTCCAAAAGAGATCAAAGCAGTTTCATTTGAAGTGAAGGTGATGGCCTCAATTTTTTGGGATGCAAAAGGCAGTGTGTTTATTGACTATCTTCAAAAGACCACACAATCAATGGAGAATAATTTTGTAACTTGCTGAGGCAGGTTATCAAGACTAAACACCCAGGAAATCTAATGGAAAGAGTTTTGTTTCATCAGGACAATGTTCCAGTTCACAAATCCTTGGTTTCAATGGCTGCTGTGCCTGACAGTGGCTTTGGACTGATTGATCACCCTATTTATTCTTCTGATTTGACTATCAACTGTTCCCCAACATGAAAAAACATTTGGCTGCGAACCAGTATCATTGTGATGATGGTGTTGTCAAATCTTCCGTTGATGACTTCTTTGATCAACAGTATAAAACCTGCTTCACTAATGGGAGCCAAGCACTGCAATACCAATGGAAGAAGTGTGTGGACCACATGTGACACTATGTTAAACAAAACTTCTTTTGGTTACATTCCATGAGAGTATCTTGGTCAGTACATGAACTTTTCAGCCCATGCTTGTAGTGTTCTTTTATTGGGTAAGAAAGATTTTGATTGGTAGGGAAGCGTAAACAATTACCATATTTTGAGGTCTATTAAAGTCAACCCAATCTTTTTTTTCTGATTTCTTTTTGACAACAAGAAAGAATATGAATTCTTTTTTGAGGTAGGACTGTGTTTTCTCCTTTGTCACCACAGTTGCACAGGACCACATAAAATATTACTGCAGTTTCAATAGCTTTTTTTACAGGGTGGATTTTCTCATTTCATACCAATACTCTGAATGAATTCAGAGTCTTCTTAGATTGACAACCAAAACCAGAAAGTCTAGTTTGCTTTGTATTTTTTACCTAAAACTTGGGAATTATACAATTTGGATAACTGTCAGTGTTAAAAATCTTTTTAATTCTTTCTTGAACTAAGAGCTTTCCAGCAACTCCTTACATATTCTCTGGTCATTAGAGAAAATACACATTTTAATAATATAAGTACATTTCTATTTCTTATTAATTTCCTTCTTGCTATTAATTTATCAGTCATATAGGGAGAACACTTCTGTAGACTAAATGTTAAACATTTGGAATAATCAGTATTTTAGAATAAAATATATTTTCACTTAAATTGTCTATATTACAGCATAAATACTTTCATAAGAATTGAACAACTGCAACTAATTTCTATATTGGATTACATTTTATAATTAATTATAATTCTATTTTGATTAATTTTCATGTATGTCTGTAGAAAATTAAATATCAGGAAAAACAGTGTGGAATAGCCGATGATGGAATTCCTACGTTAAAAAAGTAATTGAAAATGGATCCTACAAGTCCTATATGCTCAACAAATAGTTTAAAATATAACTGTCATCATTTTTTATTATACAGTTGTGCCTCTTTACGCCAGCAAACTTGGGGCCTGTTCACATAAAATGTCAGCAAACAGTTTTTTTCATACATTTAAAATAAATTTCAGCAATTTATTGATTTTTTAACAATTTTTCTAACATTGTAAAAAATAGAACAATATATATCAATTATAATAAATAAAAATTCTTTGTCTGCTTATACTTTTTAAGTGGCTGTATTATAAAAAAAGTACACATGTAATTTGATGTTAAAATAAATATCAAAATTTGCCATATTTAGAAATTGTTGATTTTGTTTTAAACTATGTTTTTATACAATTGGTTTATAAATTGTTAAATTACAGTTCAAAGCCGAGTATGGAACTGAATCAAAGAACTTTGGTGGCAGATTTATAAATTAATTGCACCAAATTCAAATCATGTTGAACTATGGCAGAGTTGCTGGATCATAATTTAGAGCAATACAATCTGTATAGCATTTTTAGAATTTCTACAATAATCTTTAAAAAATAATAAAATGAAAAATAAAATAAATATAGTAATGAAAAGTTTTTACAGAGTTTTCTGGCTTCCAGACTTCAGCATCATCTTTAAAAATATTTTAACATTAATTTGATCTATAATCTTAATTTAAAGATTTATAAACATATATTATTACATTATGGTCTAGAACTGGTAACATTTACCATTGAAAGATTCTTGGAGGAGGTCTTTTTTTTTTAACTGTGCCTTATTTGGCAGGAAATATGATCTGGTAATTAAAATATACTTAGTTGCGTATACATTTAATGGAAACAGCACATCTTTTGTGATTACTTACCCTTTAAGCATCCATTGAACTGTGGGTCATTAGTAACTTTCAGACCTGGATGAGGCATAAGAAAGCAATTGATAGATGTGAAACAAGATCGAATGTGTCTACGTAGCTGTTGTAACTCAATGTGTTGGCGATCAGCAATCTGAAAAAGAAGAGTAAATTTTTTAATTGGTTAATAACCATATTTAAAATCATACTGAATGTATCAGTGGCATATAAGGATATTATAATTAAAGCATGTTGCATGATTACAACACATTAAATAAAAAAATTAAACAAGGGTGGCTTAAATTTGCAAGTTTATTTCTGTATGAAGATGAGTGAAGCATTTGACAGTTAAGAAGCAAACAAAAAATTAAAAAGAAAAACTAAGTAAAAAACTTATAAATATGATTTGTAAAGTTTTATTCTACTGAAAAATGAAGAATAAGAAAATATAATAAAAGTAAAGGAAAATAATAAATGGTAAAAGTGTAAAAATAGAAAAAGAAAGATATATTGTAATTAATACTTGTAGTAGTATCATCAAAGTGAAGCATTACTGTTAAACTTCTTCATCAAAGTACTAACATTTAACAACAAACACACATTAAGTAATCATTGCTAGAAACCAAAATATAGTAGTCTATTGAAAGATGTGCAAGCACTCTAACAGATATCAGTATGGAAAGTGAAACTGGCAAACAAAGTTCAAATTCTATGTCAGATTAAGTTATTTAAATTAATGGTATAATTCTTTCAAAACATGCAAGTTTAATAACCAAACAGCATAATGATATAGTGAGCAAAGTATACAGGTATATATGATTAAATCTGAATGACTTCTGTTGATTAGGTTTTGTAGTCTATAATTGTAAGATTTTATTAGAGACAATAGGGTTTGCAAATTCAAATCTTGCTGGAAAATTGTTTTTTATTTGTAACCTATTATGTTTCCTTAATAGTCACAGAATAGTCACATGAGTTATGAACAAACTGTAAAAGAAATAAGATGACCTAAAAAATTAAAGAAATCAATATTTTCTGTTAAAGTCTGAATTGTGGTACTTACATAAATTTTGTTGAATCATATGAAAAAAGATACTTTTATTTTATTAGCATTTGGATGTTGTAAGTAACAGCTCGGATTGAGGAATAGGAGAGCCGAGTTCGAATTCCAGTCAAATCCATTACATTCACTTATGTACTAATACCCTTGGGAAAGGTATAAATCCGCTTCTCCTCCCCCAGCTATGGGTAAATAGCAGGACAGACTGGGTTCTATAGCCTTGGATGGCAACTGGTCTACCGCAGAAAGAAACGGCAACCTACTGTGGGAAAAAATCTGCCTCGTCAGTCATGTATTGAATTTTACAAATAAAGAAAAGAAAAAATTGTCTAAAAACACCATTCTATGAAACGACTGGCTTGTCTAAGCTTACCATCACACAGAGATTCTCCCAGATTAATAATTGCATCATCTTCAATGCTTCACCATTGTAAACAAAATTAAATTGAACAAGAAAATCTTCTAATAACATTAATTGTCAATGATTATTTTTTAATATTTTATTTATATTTTGTAATCTAAACCATTGAAAGTTACATGATCACCTAAGTGTGTATCACACATGACACATAACTGACTGACCGTATGAAGAAACAACAAATTGCCAAGATGACTGAATCAACCTCAAAAGTTGGGGCTGCTCCTTTTAAAAAAGAAAAAGAAAATGATCCCGGTATCTAAAATTTGTGCTAAAGCCAGAGTAGGGCAATTTTCTGATGACGTTTATGCAAAAGAAAACGTTATTTTGCAAATTCTGTCTCCATAGTGTTGACATAATCAAAGATCACATCAAATCAAAAACTCATTTGACAAAAGTCTTCAAAAAAGTCAGCTCAACTGAAATAAAAGTCAATAACAACTTTGTTGAAAGAGATAAGAGATGATTTTGTCCTTGATTTTTTTGCAAATATGTACTGTCTGACATTCGCTACACAAAATTGACAAAATGTGGCCATTTATATTAAAACATTGTAAAGAAGGTGGTGCTATACCAAGTGTCAATTGTGTTAGGCAACTTCATTTACCAAAATTGTTTGCTTGCCACTTTGCTGCCCTGAAATCCAAGCTTGCTAATTAATTAGTCAGCATCATAACAGATGAAACAACTATCATGACCATAGCATATTGAATGTAATTGCAATCATTTGTGGGGAGTCATTTCTCAGTGATGTTGTAACCTTGCAAGAATGCAATCACCAAACTGTAAGTCAGTCATGCATCCGAGCTGTAATTCATGCGGATATTGCACTTGAGGATATTATAGCCTTTATAACAGATTCTGCAGTCTATTGCAAAAAAGGTCATAAGGAAGTGTTGTCAAATGTCTTTGTTAACAGTTGCCATGTGTTATGCTTAGCACATATTTTAAATCTTGTTGGTGAAGTATTTTCACACTGGTCAGCATTTGATAATGTTATTCAGTTAACTGCTTTCATCAAGTCAGCCTTTTTAAAAAGCCGAGTTGGAAAAAAATCTCTCTCCTTCAGGTGGATATGTGCAGGTTTACCAGACATGGCTGGGAATTGCCCATCAGTCTTGAATGCTGAATTAGCAAATTTTTCTAGATGTAGAAGTCAAATGAATTACCTTCTAACATGGCTGCATCCTTGAAGATTTATTGTATAAAAATACAATTATGGCACATGGCCTAAAATAGGGGCATGGGTTAAGGCTGGTCTTCACTGACTATCTTATACGTAGCTGTCTGGCCACATCTTTGGTTATGATCCAAGTTGAGATCCCCAACCTCCCCAGTTTGTTTTTGACCTCCCTTTTATCTCAACTGGGTCAGCTTTATTGATTCCCCATGTCTGTCTATATTTTCTCTTTTCCCTCTCCCTTAACAAGGGAGCTACTTGATTCTGCCTTAGGACAGAATACAGCGACCTCTCATTTTTGAGGGATGGACAGTTATATTTATTTTTACTTTGATTTGATATTTAGTTTGTTTTGGAGTTCATCTCCTCCCCTCTTATTGTCAATCATTAGATTTTTATGTATGGAACTTATATTATCATCAAATTTTTATATCATGGGGTGCATATTTGTAGGTTCCCTTGAGAGGATGTGGCATTATGGTATATGGAGGATTGATTGATGACTAATGAGTTCTTATGCTTAATGTGCAAATTGTAATGAGTGAATGGGTTGTGAATCAGATTAGCTAGGTATAAGATAGTGAAGACCAGCCTTAACTCATCCCCCTATTTTAGGCCATGTGCCATAATTGTATTTTTATACAATAAATATAAAAGTAGATACAAGAAGGCAGTCTTATTGCCTGTTTCGCTAGTGGATCTGTGTGTGACCAGCTTAAGACATTTTGAATTGATAAGTTTTTCATTTTTATTTTCAAATCTTTTTGAATTTTTTCAGTTTTCAGTTTCTTATTTTTGTGCATATTTAGTTGTACACTTTTTTGTTTTATATCCTTTTTTTGCATTTTTGCCCTCCCCCTGTTTTGATTTACCTTTTCATATTTCTTTGTTTTTATGTGCTTATTGGTTTTATTCTTTTTTCCATGTTCTTCTTTTTATTTGGTTGTCTACAATTTTTGTCTTTTATGCTTGTATATAAAAAATAATAATATTTAGATAGCAGGCAAAATTTTTACATGTTTGGCCTTAGAGGTGTTTATGCCAACATGGCCGAGAATTTGGAGGCACACACGGTGCCAAGTCAAAATGAGTCACAGCCTGGTGTGAAAAGAGGTCAAAAAAGGACTCAGATTATTACAACAGCCTAAGAAATAACTCCTACATTAATGGCAACAAATTGTTAATGATACTGGAAGCTATGGATGCCGTTAAAACAAGAACTATCTCCCTGCTGACCACTGATGTAGGAACTTGGAAGCTTATCTGCATCAACAGGGAAATGATGGCAGAAGCTCTGAAGAGCCTTCATATAGGACCAAAGGTTTTGGCCAGGAGGTCAAATGCACTATGGGACATTCTTCTGGCAACAGAAGACAAAGTAAATCTTTTGGCAGGAAGCACATTAACCACAAAGACAGTCCATTTACAAATGGAATATATGAGGACAAGGCGTACAAAAATTACTGTACATGGAGTCCCAGTCGACATCAGTGGGGATATGTTGGGGGCTTTCTTCGCCCAATATAGCCCCATTGAAGAAGTCACTGCAATAGTGAGCAAATCTGGAATTGCCACCGGCTATTTTGTGTTGTATGTCACATGTCACTTTAACAAGGCAGAGTTTCCAGGAGATTCCCAACATCCTAAAGTGTCAGGACAAAATGATGCCCATAATAGTGGGTCAACATCCTTACTGTTGGATATATGGAACTTTGGAACACATGTCCAAGGTGTGTCTGAGTAAAAAAAACAGTTCCGCAGCCTAGCCCAGTAGCAGAGAAAACTGATGTGCCTGCCAAAACTCCTAATGGTGAGCGGAGGGAAGTGGCAAAAAAGGGACGAAAATCATCAACTCCTACCCCTCAACAGAAGGCCCTACTGCAGCAAAAGCAAACCTAGCGGAGGCCAGAGACTGAAAAGCTTGGTAGCCCACAACCTCAAACCCAGGAAAAGGAACTAACCAAGCAAGAGAAGCAGCAGCAGTGTCAAGAACATCATCAACAAGAGAAACCAAGAAAAACCAGTGAAACAGCAAAAGAGCACAACAAAGCACAACAAAGCAGAACAACAACAGCAACAACAAAGAGAAACAAGAGAAACCAGTAGCGTCAAAGAGAGCACAACAAAGCAGCAAGGTAAACAACAACAAAAAGAGAAAAGTGGAAACAGCAAAGAGAGCACAACAAAGCAGAACAACAGCAAACAAAGAAACCAGTGAAACAGCAAAGAGAGCACAACAAAGCAGAACAACAGCAGCAACAAGAGAAACCAGTGAAACAGCAAAAGAGAGCACAACAAAAGCAGAACAACAGCAAAGAGAGCAGCAACAAGAGAAACCAGTGAAACAGTGAAAACAGCAAAGAGAGCACAACAAAGCAGAACAAAAGCAAGAGAAACCAGAAACAGCAAAGAGAGCACAACAACAACAGCAGCAACAAGAGAAACCAGTGAAACAGCAAAGAGAGCACAACAAAGCAGCAACAACAGCAGCAACAA